CCAGGAGTAATTCATGAGTGCAAAGCCAGGAATAACCCCCGTGCATTTATGGGTGTGACACCCCCCCCAAAAAAATTGTGAATTTTACACATTGAGTTCTTGACTTTGTGGAATTCTTTGAAAGATCGTTGGACATTTTCCTGACACACATCTAAAATTGCACCTAAACCATCTAGGGTTTCAAGTTCCTTTCCAAAAAGTCTAGTAAACATTTCTGTGGTGGTGATGTTGGGGGGATGGGTGGAGCGCCATCCAAGTGATGCTCAGGAGGCCTATAAGATCCTTTAATGTTTCTCAGTCAACCCAGTCAATGCCCAGACCAGAGATTACTGGGGCTACACCTGGGAGGGCTTTTGGCCTCTAAGGCTTTGTCTAGTGGTGCTCAGGGATCAAACATAGGTTGGGCATGTGCTAGACATGCAGCTGTACTATACTAACAGCTATACTATCTCTTGGCCCCTAGTGTAGTTTTTATTGGGACAAGGTGGAGCACGTGGGTGAGACCCAGTGTTTAATTCCTGGCACTGTATGTTCTCCCAAGTTCCCCAACACAAGTGAACAGTGTAAACCTGGTGTCCCCAGGCATAGTTGAGAGTAGTGCCTGACCCCTGAGCAGGCCCATATTTTCAAGAGTGGCCCTAGTATCTCCAGGCACCATTGTGGAGGCAGCTATAAAAAGTTAATAAGGACATTCCTAAACTTTAGAGAGACTTTTACTGTCGGATTTCATTTCCCTTGCATATGTGTAGGGCTCTTCTGGAACGTACTACATTGTCTTGTTTGTTCAGCGAACTTTTCTTCTGTTTCCTTGAAATTTGCTGAATTATTAGCTCCATATCAGCTCTAGGAATATTTTTCTTTCAACTCCTTGGTTCGTTTCTCTTCTGAGAAGTTCTTGTCTGGTCTCAAGAAGTTTTACCATTTCATATACAGGATTTATCTAACTAAACACTTAAGGGAAACTTCATATAGTATGCTCGAACCCTTTCCTTTTTCTTTGGAACTCTTTCTTTGTTCATAAATTCTTGCCATTTTGACTTCCTTTGAATTTTTTTCTTTGTCTTCTCAAGTCAATAAGATTGCATGGTTCTGGGTTCTTCCTGTCTAGTAGTGGAGTGGTGAATTTTTGACTTGGGCAGGGCTGTCCTAGTGTGCTTCCCCTTTCTCAGGGTCACAGTCCCACACTACCTATGCCTGAAAATAGTCCTTTTCTGTATTTTATACTTTTTTTTAGCTGTTTGCAATGGGAAGATTATTCTTGACTTGTCCACTCTCTCATGGCCATAAGTTGAATTACCCTAGTGAATTTTAGTGCAAACCCTTTACAAAATTCTTCAACTACCATATAATTATTTTAGTTGATTCAGTTTTCCTCAGTATTGTAAATGATCATGTGTCAGCTCTAGAAGTTATTTATTTTTTAATTCAAATAATCATTACAAATTCTAAATCAGAAACTAACCCAAAGTAAGTACTTATACAAATAAATTTCACAGTCTGGGAAAATGAATTTTTGAGTATATGAAAATTTTTTAGTAGTTTAGAATAAGTCATTATAACTATAAAATCATTAGCATTTTAGTAGGAGTATTTCAGTGGGTAGGGACTAAAATGAACTATCTGAACTATAACTTTATATTATTGCCATATATGTATATGTATCCCACATACATATATCTCTTATAACAGGAAACAGCAAATATAATCTGTATAAGATCATGCTCTCTCTATATTTTAGATGTTATGGGCTCTATAGTCATAGCTCTACTGGTCATAGCTCTGCTGTTATGCTCAAAAGTAACCATAGACAGCACATTAAAACAAGAGGCTGTATCTTGACAAAACTTTAGCTATATAAAATAAAGTCAGATTTTTATGTTTCAAAACAGGATTTTTATTTTGATTTTTTTCCAGATTGTTTAAAAATGTAAAAACTATTCATGTCATTCAGACCATACATATGCATAAAGGGATTTTCATGGTTTTATAGCCCTGCCATATATAATTGAAAACCTCTGTTACTGACTATAGGATTCTTAGTAGTCTGTTGTTTTACAATTCTGATACTTTTATTTCAACTTTTTCCTAGTATTCTGGTCCTATAGGAATTTAGGAGATTTTATGATCAAATATAACATTAGAGGTTCTTTAGCCAATGGGGAGTTAGCTCTAAGGTCTAATTTATTTTACTCCAAAACTCTTTCCTTTTACAGATGGCTAAAATTTTTTTCTTTTAACATAGTAAGGGAACAAGAAACAGTCAAAGTCATCAGAACTATAGGTTTTGTCTATAGAAATGAGCTTACAGGGGGTTAAGGAATTGGGACATTCTGAAGGGAAGTGAGCTCTCTGGTAATGGGCTTGGCATTGGAGTCATATCTATATACATGAAAAATATGTAGATATGCATGAAAAGTATGACATGTACATATAAAGGATTGTAAATCCAGGTATATAATAAAAATTTTATAGGGATAAAATTATTTTCTTCCTGTTTTCAATATTTGAAAAATTACCTTAGCAATTTTCCAAAATCAGCATATATAGCCAAATCCTGAATTTAGTTATTTTTTGATGGTTTTCTGGAATTCATAAATCAAAGGCTCCCAACCTTACATTATTTTTTTCCCTTTTATGCTGTCCCACTTAAGAGATCTAGAAGATTTTTCCTCCACTAGCTCATACTTTTGTGACCACCCCTCTTTTCTTCATGACATTTGTTTCTATAATGACTTCCACAAAACCCTGTTAGCTATTTAGGACACAAATTTTACTCCATACTCTAAAGTGTATTATTTTTATTCTACAGCATATCATGTAGGACATTGTTAAGGCCTCTTTGAATGCTCTGAATTTGTTTTCTGTTTTAAAGAAAATTCTTTTATTGTTGTTGTTTTAAATGGGGGCTACACTCAGTGGTGCTTATTCCTGGCTCTGTGTTCAGGGATCACTCCTGGTGGACTTTGGGAAGCCAGGGATTAAGTCCACGTTGGTCACATGCAAGGCAAATGCCTTACTTGTACTATTGCTCTGCTCCCAGTATTTGTTTTCTAATACCTACAGCAATATTGACATACACAGTCCATGATTTTGTTTATTACTGTGTGTTCATAAAATTAGTTCAAGCCACACATGGTAAGAATTATTATGTAGTTCATAATCTATAATTATAAAGTGATAGCACAGCGGTAGGGCATTTGCCTTGCACGCAGCCAACATGGCCGACCCGAGTTCTATTCCTCCGCCCCTCTCGGAGAGCCCGGCAAGCTACCGAGAGTATCTCGCCCGCACGGCAGAGCCTGGCAAGCTCCCCGTGACGTATTCGATATGCCAAACACAGTAACAACAAAGTCTCCAATGGAGACGTTACTGGGCCCGCTCGAGCAAATAATTATAAAATTATTTTATTTATTTATTTGGGCTGGAGCAATAGCACAGTGGGTAAGGCATTTGTCTTGCATGCAGCCGACCCGGGTTTGATTCCTTCGCCCTTTTGGAGAGCCTGGCAAGCTACCGAGAGTATCTCGCCTGCACGGCAAAGCCTGGCAAGCTCCCCATGATGTATTCGATATGCCAAAAACAGTAACAACAAGTCTGACAATTTGTTGTGAGACATTACTGGTGCCCACTCGAGCAAATCAGTGAACAATAGGAGGACAGTGCTACAGTGCTATTTATTATTTATCTATTTAATGCTTTTTGGGTCACACCTAGCAATGCACAGGGGTTACTCTTGTCTCATGCACTCAGGAATTACTTCTGGCAGTGCTCAGGGTACCATATGGGATGCTGGGAATTGAACCCAGGTTGGCCGGGTGCAAGGCAAACGCCCTACCCACTGTGCTATTGCTCCAGCCCATACAATTGTTAATTATAAGTATGTTTTCCTTCTTTAAGTATGTGATTAAGTTTCTTTTTGGTAATGAGCAAAATTCTGGTAGTTCTAGAAAAGTGGCTTGGGTTTCAGTAGATGCCACTGCTCTACCAGTGAGCAGGTAGAATCATAACTAAATTTTTATATACTTAGGGAATACTTTTCCAGCTTTCATGTCTTCATAGTATTTTGCTAACACATTGTTGTTGATTGGTACACCATCCAGGAAAAATAAAGGCAGCTTACTTTTGTTTTGTTTTTGCTAGCACAAAGAGAAAATCTTTACATTCAAACAAAACTACAATATGGATTAGAGGTCAGAGAGATAGTACAGTGCGTAAGGCACTTACTTATCTTGCACATGACCTACTCGGGTTATATTCCTACGACTTCCTATGGTCCACTGAGCATGACCATATGTGGCCCAAAGACAGACAGACAGATAGACAGACAGACACACATACACAATTGGTTTTGCCAAAAATAGAAAGTCATGTGTGAAAAGTGAACATTCAAAGAGAATTTGCATAGTAAGTCAAAAACTAATATATTTGAAATAATTGTTTATTGTTATTGTTATATAGGAATAATATTGTGAAATTATGCCAGTTTTCACATCCTTTGAGTGTTGTGTTACTTGATATTTTCTTACAAAATCTTATTTCACTGTTTTGATGATTAGAAACATTTTTCCATGAGCATTATAAGCTCATTTATGTCTCACAACATGTATGCTTTCTGTCTGAAATATACTAAGTCTTTCCATGATATAACTCATTTTATCCTGTTTTTTGGCATGCACACTTTCTTCTCTGAGGCTCTTTCTTAATGTAATGTGTAAAATGGCATTTTCACCTTCCTAATCTTTAGCTTCCAATTTAAGAGCATTTATCAACATCAAAATTTGTTTCTCTATTCTAGAATGTATCTTTATTCAATGAGAGGAGATCTCTTGCTTTATTTGTTATCTGTCTTTCTACTTAGAATACTACCTTTCATGTAGTGGACCTCAAGTTTTAATTTATATATATATATGGTTGGAAGGATGAATACATAAAAACATGTCTAATGCATCATTTTTAGAAAGACCTGGTTTAGCGCTATCTTCCTTTTTTTTCTCTTGCAGAAATATTGCTGAATTTAGAAAATAAAGAATGAGAAGCAGAGAACAAAGAACATTCATCTTACAAGCACTTTGAAATTTTTAAGGAATGTAATGTCAGCTGCTAAAACCACCTTTGTCACCATAATGGATGAAGTACTTCAGATTTAAAAGGTAACCAGCATTCTATAATGTTAGGTTCCTACCAAAAATGTTAGATGACTTGAAAATATGTCTTTATTTTGGGGGGAGGAAGATGGGAGGGGTAACTTCCAGATGTACCCAGGGCTTATTCCTGGCTCTGTGCTTGTAGAATGCTCATGGGAACATATATAGTATCAGGCATAGAACCCAGGTCGCCTCATGAAAGGCAAGTGCCCTACCCATTGTACTATTTCTCCAGCACCAAATAGATTTCTTTTTAATTTTATATATTTACCTTACAAATACCAAAGTATAGATAAAGCATCTAATTTTGTAACTTACTTAACACAGTCCAGTTTTTAGGTTTTTTTCCTTTTTTTGCATAAAATTGGTCAAAAGAATTTGTGGGTTCCCCCTCTAGTTCTGAACATCTTACCTTGGAAATAAATAAATTTGAATAAGAATATCACAATATTCCTTAAAATCTGAACATAATTTGTAAACAAATTTTCTTTAGGAGTCTAAATATTATATGTATCCTATGACATAGTTTTCACACTCTTAAACTCCTCCTCCCACACTCCCAGTTTTTTTGTTTATTTGTTTTTGTTTGGGGCCACACCAAGCAGTGCTTAGGGAATATTCCTGTATTCTCACATGTGACCCCTGGGCTTGGTGGGGGACCATATTAATGCCAAGGATTTGAACTGGGATTGGTTGGATGCAAGCAGTGCCTTAACCGCTATACTATTTCTCTGACTCCCACATTCTTAGACCTTTTGTCCAGAAAATTAGAAACATATATCTGTGCAAAATTAGGTATTTGATAGTTCATACCAGCTTTTATTTCATTAGCTTCAAATTGGACACAGTTAAACTGTCCTACAAGAGGTAAATATTAGGTACTACTGTAGCTTAGTGGGCTGAGCATGTTCTTTGCATATGTGCGGCTGGATTTTATTCCAACATGATCCTGAGCACTGTTAGGAGCTGCCCCTGAGCCAGGAGTAGTCCCTGAAATACTCAAGGACATCATGCTGATGAACTTGGGGAGCAGAAAAATGGGCCAATGATCTAAGGTGCTTTCTTGGCAAGCACAAGGTTGTAAGTTCAAACCTTGGTGCTACTGTAAGAGCTGAGATGACCAGAATGGTCCTTCTCTTGTATATCTGGTGTGAAGACTCTAGAAGGCTTCAGTAACTTAGAGCACCCGAGGCAAGCATGAAGTCCTAAACTTTATTTCACTTCATTTTGGAGTAGTAGTAACATCCTGGTGATCCAGACCACATAAGCTAGACTCCCTAGTAACAGAAGAAGAAGAAAAGAAAGTGAGTCTCAAAGGGTCACATGATGTATGATTTCATGTATTAACATTATCAACTTTTTTAAGTTATAGTGATGGTAGGGCTGGAGTGATAGTATAGTGGGTAGGGCATTTGCCTTGCACGCAGCCAACCCGGCCGACCTGAGTTCATTTCCTCCGCCTTTGATTCCTCCGCCCCCCTCAGAGAGCCCAGCAAACTACCGACAGTATCTCACCTGCATGGCAAAGCCTGGCAAGCTACTCGTGACGTATTCAATATGCCAAACACAGTAACAACAAGCCTCACAATGTTACTTGACCGGCTCAAGCAAATCGATGAACAATGGGAGGACAGTGACAGAGACAGTGACAGTGATGGTAACAGTTATCTCTATGGATTAGGGATCTTTGAGGGATAGGAGTGTGGGTATGATTAAAGAAATTGTACAAAGAAAATCTTTTCTGGGGCCAGAAGGATAATACTGTGGGTAGGGCATTTTGCCTTGTATGTGACCCACCCAGGTTCAATCCCCAGTATCTCATATGATCCCCCAAGTACTGCCAGGAGTGATCCCTGAACACAGAGCCAGGAGTAAGCCTTAAGCACTGCCAGGTGTGTCCCACACCACACACCCCCAAAAGTAAAGAAAGAAAAAAGAAAACATTTACTTTAAATGAATAATTCTATGCCTTGATTTTGGTGATGGCTACAGTCAACTATACACGCATGTGATAAAATAACATGGAATATATACAGATTGTACCAAGTCAGTTTCTTGATTTTGATGATGTATTGCATTTATTGTAAGCTGTAACTATTGGGTTTGTTAAAGGGTTCATGGAACCTCTATGTCAGTCTTTATAACTTTCAATAAATCTCAAATTTGAAATAAAACAGTTAAAATAATCCTAGCATGGATTAATAAGTATGATCCAAAAATCCCAGTTCTCTGAAATGCAAAGTCATGTTGCCTCTGAGTTAATGAAATTAAAAGTGAATAGTACAGATACCTAATTGGGAGCTCTCAAGGTGGAGCTTGAGAGCTGGACTTCAAATTCTCAAATTGAGCTCAAGATGGACTTCAAATTCTCCCCCATCCTATCTGGTCACAGTTGTCTGATTTTGCTTAAAAGTTGTTAGGTGCACTTTAAAGTCTTGACTGCTTGGCAGATTACCAGGACAAAGTCACTGATTCCAAAAATATCCCAGATACGACCTTAGGGATGCTGAGATCCACCTTCTGCATATGGGCTGCTAGATTCTATCCACAAGGTTTTCTTGGAGGGTCTGCTTACTCTTTTCCACAAGGTTCTCACTCCTCTCACATTATCACTGTCACCCATCCTATCCATAGAAACAACTTTTTTGGAAAACATGTTGAGTATAACAATAGTCAATTGCATAAAATTTTTTACTTATCTATAGGTTCTACTCATTTATCAATTTTCTCAAACCACAACCTAGTAAATACTAACTTTTGGAGATTTTTCTTGAGAAGAGTATTATGTGACCCTACTTTGTTTTCTTTTTTCTTTTCTTTTTGGCCTTTTTGGCCATACCCTATGATTCTCAGGACTTATTCCTGGCTCTGTACTCAGGAATTACTCCTGGTGGTGCTCAGGGGACCATAAATGGGATGCCAGGGAACAAACCCAGGTTGGCCTTGTGCAAGACAAATGCCCTACCCCAGCGCTGTACTATCGCTCTGGCCCTGACTTTGTAATATGAGGAAAACCAAGAAGAGAACAGTAGGAATTATTTCATCTCAAGTTCATTGGATCATAATCTGTTGGACTTTTGGGTGATAATGGTTCGACATCTTTTGGGTCATATCCACTGCCTTCTGGTTGGATGGTCCAGTATAAGTGATGGAATTAACTTTATGTCATCTTTACAAGCCAGCTCATTCATTTATCATGTTTATTTGAGGAAAATAATATCTGCTAGAGTAAAGAAATTTTTAACTTGGTGCTAACATAGGCTTAAGTGGTTTGTGTACATAATATCTCTCTGACTGTAAGCATGTCACTGTGCGTTACACAAGGTATACAGAAAAAGGGAAAGGTCTTGTTCTCTATAGCTCACTAGTTATAGGCAGGCAAACAGACAGAGATAGCATTGTATCAAGTACTTTATGGAAATATGAGTGGAAAGCTGTAACACTTTTTCCGCCTGGAAAGTTGGGGGAAGCTTCCCCAAAGCTCCAAGGGGTTATTAGATAGATAGTTTACAACTAGGGAATGAGCAGCTGGAAACCTCCTATAGCTGGTTTGGGGATATGTGGGGTGGGGGAGGTCATATATTTTTCACGTTGAAAGATTATAGTATTTTAGCTTGAAATCCTTGTGATTTATGAAGAAAAGTGGTACTCAGAGCTAGAACAGTAATGTAGTAGGTAGGACACTTCCCTTGCACAAGGTCAACTGGTTAAATCCCTGGCACCACATGTGTCCCCTGAGTTCCACCAGGTGTGATCCCTGACCACAGAGCCAGGAGTAAGCTCTGAGCACCCCTCAGTGTGTCCTCCCCGACACCACCGGCAAAAATAAAAGGGAACTTTTAGAGGATAATGTCTTAATCCAGTATCATATAGAAATTATAATATCACTATTTATTCTTAAGAACTATAGTTTGATATGTAGTTTTATTAGTTGAGAGGTTTGTCTTCATGGTTTATTTATATATTTGCTCACTTCTAAACTAAAATGTGACCTAATACTAATAAATTTGAGTATTCTCTATTACCTGACTGGCAAGAATTACTTCAGTACTAACCCCTTTTCACTTTTGCTAAAGATAATAAAATCATTTAGAAAATAGTGTCATTCTCCAATTTTATTCCTTATCTAGAAAAAATTGCTCTGTGAGGTTGGTGAATTCATAGACACATTATAGTATAAGTAATGACATATCATATGCACATTTTGCATCTTCCATTGATGTGTGATATTTATTGCAATGTATTTTTTTCATATTAACTCAAAATAAAATATAGCATAGAAGAACAGATGTGTTATGTTCTAATCGTCTTTTGGAACTTGGGCAAAGCTGCTCCCTCACCTCAGGCTCCGTTGCCAGAGGAGGGGTGCTTTCTATTTGTTTGCTTAACAAGAAGTAGATTTCCAGGAGGGGACTGTCACTGTCACTGTCACTGTCCTCCCGTTGTTCATCGATTTGCTCAAGCGGGCCCAGTAACATCTCCATTGGAGACTTTGTTGTTACTGTGTTTGGCATATCAAATACATCACAGGTAGCTTGCCAGGCTCTGCCGTGCGGGCGAGATACTCTCGGTAGCTTGCCGGGCTCTCCGAGAGGGGCGGAGGAATCAAACTCGGGTCGGCCATGTTGGCTGCGTGCAAGGCAAACGCCCTACCACTGTGCTATTGCTCCTCCCAATCCAGGAGGGGATTAAGTTAAAAAAACTTTTTTAACCTGAAACGAAAATGTAGCCTAAATGAGTTTGGGAACTTGTGCTCTAGGTCATAATGAAGATTTACTGTTGAGCTATATCTTTGTTCTTTTGTTTCTTCTTATATAAAGTACCAATTTTTCTTAAATCTTCATTACTTTTTTAGACTGCACTTTAATCTTTCTGAAGATTCTCAAAACCTAATTTTCAGGAAACAATTACTTCTGTGGGTTTGTATCTCCTCTTACATATTTATTTCCACTACTTTTGCTTTACTGGTGAGACAGTACTGTGTAGAAAGATATAAGTTGTGTCACATGGGAAAGAATTAGTTTT